AGCTAGCTAAAAAAATCCAAAGCTTACCTTAAAGCTAATATGATGGTTAATAGTTGAAAGTAGCAAAAAAAAAATTTAGCAAAATTCTAGCTAAATGCTAACAGTAGCAACAACTAACTAAAGTATAACAGGTTAGCTTAATGCTAAAAGGTTATAAAAAACTAAATAGCAAAAGGCTAATAATAAACTGTAGCAAAACAGTGGCTAAAAATTGTTTGATTTGTTTGAAGCTTATACGTTGGCAAAAAGCTAAAAGTAGCTTGAGAAGACAAAACCAGAGTAAGTGGCAGAAGCAGAATTTAAATGTCAATGTTTTGTTAAAGGAATTGAAGAGATCTCCATGTACCTCTGTGGTGAACGTATTTGTAAATAAAAGTTAAATTGTCTGAAAACATCTAATTTACTGAACCAGCATCGATGTCCTGAAAGAGCCGAAGGTTTTAATATGACTGGTTAAACTAACACAAAGTCTGCACCGAGTGAGAAACATTTACCGGATCTGGTTCCGTTCCTCCCTCCGTCTTCTTGTCCAATCTGGATCTCCTCACAACATTTCTTCGTCTTCATCACAGGATCGAGAAGGTCCAGCTCTCTGACATGGGCTCCTATAGATGTGCCGTCCTCTCAGGGAACAACCGGACCTTGTCCGAGGAGGGGAGCATCCAGCTGGAAGGTGAGTTGGACCTTCGTTACGTTTGGTTTGTTAAAAAACAAAGACGTGACTCAGCCTCCTCTTCCTCAGGCCTTCCTCATTTCTCCATGGAGCCCCGCCACATGTCCGTGGTGGCCAACGTCTCGCTGAGCCTCAGCTGCGTGGCCCACGGGCCTCCGGAGCCGGTCAGAGTCATTTGGCTGCAGGACGGAGCGCCGCTCAACAAACTGACTGATCCGGTGGCTCTGTCCCCGTCCAAACTCAACCTCACAGGTAAACAAACCTCACAGGTAAACAAACCTCACAGGTAAACAAACCTCACCTGTAAACAAACCTCACAGGTAAACAAACATCACAGGTAAACAAACCACACAGGTAAACAAACCTCACCTGTAAACAAACCTCACAGGTAAACAA